CTCTATTTTACATGCAAGGAAATGTCTCTACTTTGGAGTGATTTGTCTGAGAGCACTCGAGTTAGTGGCATACTGGACAGAAAGCTTCTTGACCTTGTATTTTGTATTTGCTGATAGACCACCTAGTACCCTACCTTGGACTTGACTAAATACACTTTTCAAAATAAAGGAGAAGCAAGCCCTGTTTAGTCCCTGTGAGGTGGGCAGGTGGGGGAGACCAGGGATGTATCATTTGGTTAGGGGAGAACGGGTGTGCTCCAGGTGTGCTCTGCAAACTCTAAACACAGCTTATAGTTCAGCCAAAACATCGTAAGACTCTCAGTCTTCTTGCTTTCAAGGACTTCCATTCAGATCCAGAGGGCAAATGCCATTCTAAGATGTCCCAGGAAAAGGTCCCAATTGTTGCCAGAGGATGTAGTCCCTGAACCTGGGACTCACAGAGCTCCGGTGAGGCTGATCCAGTGCTGCCTTCATGCCCTGACTTCAGTGGAAGAGAAGCAGGCTTGGCTGATACTGGATTCCTTCTCTTCCCCCTCTCCCTCTTCTCACTTCTGTGGAGGCTGCAGGCAGTTCTTAAACTTGGGATGCCAAAAAATCTCACCTGCCTTAAGCCCAAGAAGAGATATGGATGTGACTTAGATCTTTTTTTTGGGATTAAAACTTGAGATGTGTTGAGAGTACATTCACAGACCAAAGTACCAGGGGCAAGGGAGTCTGTGTTTCTTTGTTTTCTACTTCTTGGAACAGGGCGTTCTTGCCTACTCTAGCCACTGTCTGGAAAATGAAAGTCTTAAAGGGGACAGCTTATGCCTGTGGTGACTGCATCTCCATTGGCAGGAAAGTGTGAGCTCAGCCCACAAAGCAGGGCTCCAATGACCATTTATGCCCTCCAGTGAGACAGGGGGGCTCATCACTCTGGCAAGTGGATGCTGACAGCACTTACTTGCATGTGTAATCATCGGAGGCTGTCAGGGAGGCGGCTCTTTAATAAACATCTGGACCACAGTGTCTTGGGAGGGGGACACTGCAAGGTCTGCTCATTTGCCCTCTTGCCTGTAAAGAGAAGCGGAAAAGAGGCAATTTGCAAAGTGCCACCTTTAAAAGACTTGTAGAAAAGATTGGTTGTGTCTCTTCCTGGAGATCTCAGATGGGGCTGCACCACCTTCCCGGTCATGGTCACTCTCCTGCGAGGGTGGGAGCCCCTCCTTCCTGTGCCACTGCTGGGCTGTTTGCTCCCAGCTGACGGCCCTGTACCTCCTCTCGGACCAGGTCAACAGGTTTCCTGAGAATTTCCCCTACAGCCGTGGGGAGAACATGCCCGACCTCTGGCATCAGGCAGACCTTTTCCGCGCCTCATGACGGAATCGTCTTGGGCACTTCTCTGAGTCTGAATTAGAAACGGAATAATTGGAACTAATAACACAGTACCTATTTTGCACTGTTGGGAGGTGAGAATGCCTGGCATACAGAAGGCCTTCAATAAATGTGTCTTTCCCCTTCCCCTTCATTCCGGCACAGCAAAGAGATCACTTCTACGTGAATCAGTTTTCCAAATGATCTTTTTCCTCATATAATTTAACACTTCATTGTATCATATGCACTGAGGACCAATACTCACAGTTACTGCCATTTATACTAGTTGTTTTGTCTGAATAGTTCTTTTTCGCAACTAGAATGTCAGCTTCTTTTGGACAAGGGGCGGTCTTGCCTCCCACGCTGCATAGGCTGGGCCCACAGGTGTGGCCAGTGAATGCTCGTCCAGGAGACGCTGACGCATGGCTCGGGTGATCTTTCCAAGGTCACTTTCTGTCTTTTCCTCTCGAAGTACAAGTACAATAATGTGAAGCATGCCTATCACAAAGCCCAGCACATAGTAAATTTTTTTTAAATAGTTCCGAGTTTACCTGCAGTCTTTTTTGGGGGTGGGGAGTGGGGGAGGTAACTCAGTTCGTTTATTTGATTTTTTTTTTAATGGAGGCACTGGGGATTGAACCCAGGACCTCATGCATGCTAAGCACGTGCTCTACCACTGAGCTCTATCCTCCCCCCGAGTAAATGTTGAATGAAGTCCACTTTGTCATCCCAGTTGCAAAGCCTTTCCTTACAGGCATTATACCCATTCTTTCACCAGATTTTGCTTCCTCTCTAAATCCCCACTGAGTTCTCCACGTGCTGTGGATCACAGACCTCAGCACCTCCTTCTAAGACCCTGTGTGAAGCTGAACGTGAGAATGCAGGGGCAGGCAGGACAGAGCCTTAGTTCCCTCACTCGCTCTTGGCCCTACACCTCCTTTTCTGGGCCATCAGGCATCTGCTCATGGCATCCTTCTTAGACATGTGCGGATAGCCAGACTCAGCCCCTTGAGACCATCACCCTGGATGCATAACCCAAATGACATTTTCCCATCTTTTGTCAGAGTCCTTACCTAAGACAGGGAGGGACCCAGGTGAGGAATGAATTGCTAAAGTGGCTTAGTTTGGGGCCATCAAAATACACTCTGTCCTGATGCCCTCGTGAGCAGAGCACCTGGCTGGAGAGCTGCTCGACTTCGCTGAGTTGGAATGACCCGAGTTTAAGAACTGTCTGCTCCCAGCCCTGACCCGGACTTCCTGGGTCACCTCTAGCAGCCCGTGCAGTTTCTTCACAGCGTTATTTCTCTACCTGCCTAGCAGAGCGGGACCATTTACCTTCTGGGCCCTGTGCTTGCTCTAGGATCACAGGTGTGCCTACATCACGGCAATTCTTCCCTTCTGGGCACTCAGAGGAGAATGGCATTGTCTCTTCATCCCCAGCTACACCCTCTGCCAGGCCTCCTTAGATAGCCAGTGATCTAGGAATCCATGCGCCACTAAACTTTCCCACTCTCAGATTATCTTTCAACTGAGATTTACAGGTTCTTTGACTGGCCGTCTCCTGGCTGGAGATAATAAGGTACATCCAGGAACCACCAGCCTTTTATAGTGACTGGGACGTACATACCTGGGCGTATATCTGGAGGGAACTCTAATTTGAAAAGATACATGTACCCCAGTGTTCATAGCAGCACTGTTTAGAACAGCCAAGATGCGGAAGCAACCGAAACGTTCATCAACAGATGACTGCATAAAGAAGTTGTGGTGTATAGACACACACACACACACACACAGAGAATGGAATAGTACTCAGTCATAGATAAGAATGAAATAATACCATTTGCAGCAACATGGATGGATCTGGAAATTATCATACTAAGTGAAGTAAGTCAGAAAGAGAAAGAAAAATGCCACAAGACATCACTTATATGTGGAAAAATGACACAAATGAACTTATCTGCAAAACAGAAACAGACTCACAGACACAGAAAATAAATTCATGGCTGCGGGGTGGGGGGCGGACAGGCAGGAGGAGACAGGCACTGCACATCGCTGTATTTTGCAGTCACACCCACAGCACTTACCACGTACCAGACGCTGTTCCCCCACGTGCCTCACACGCACTCGTTAGCCCTCATGACAGTCATAGGAGGTAGTTATTCTTATCCCCAATTTACAGTTGAGGGAACTGAGAGGTAGAGAGTTTATGTTAACTTGCCAAATGTCAAAAACAGCTAGTAAGTGGTAGAGTCAGGGTTCGGACCCAGACAGGCTGGCCCCAGCATGTGCTCTGAGGTTACAGAGGAAAAGGCTGGGGGAATGCTGGCTAAGGCTTCGAGAGTCCTGGGTTTGCTTTCAACAGGGCTGCTGCCTCCCTGGACACAGGAAATTTGACCCCGTGTCCTTTCCCCTCTTGCTGATTCTAAGCTGATTCACCCATGAAAAAATATTACCCACTAAAGAAACAAACAGTTTTGCAAGATGGAGTATTTGTGAGTGGTGCTGTACGTGAAGGTGAGGATGGGAGCGAAGGAGTGGCTCTGGGTTCTGGTCCTGCCTCAGCCACCTGCTTTACTGTGTGCGACATCGACAAGCGGCCTTGAGTCTTGGGGCCTCAGTTTTCCTGGCTGTCCCAGACGATCTCTGGGGTTTTCTTCTGGCGCTCACAGTCTGTGGGCTTTTGGTCACTGGTTGGTGTGGTTTTGGTCCGCTCGTGGTAACCTCTGCCGTTGACATTTCTCAGGCTCCACTGGGTCCATGGCTAAGCACGAAAGGTACGGAGTTGAGAAGAGGGGACTTGGAGGGACAGATGCCTCACAGAACTTGCTGCAATGTGCAATCTAACAAGGGACAGCCTCACTTCCATCGACCCAGTTCCAGCCAGGAGACCCGCATGCTTTGGTGGAAAGAGCAGAGGGGAGCCTTCTAATCTGGCCTCTCCCACTGCCTCACAGGGTCGCCGTGATCACTTGACTTGCTTTTTCTGAACCTCACTTTCCTCAGATGTGAAATGTAGAAGGGCCACCTTGTAGAGCTGGACCCTGGACTGATTAAGTACAATAACAATGGTATGTCTCTGTGTATCTCAGCGCTAGCCCGGGGCCTGGCTCACAGGAGGAGGGGGGCGAGTGCAGCTCTGGGCAGCGGGGACGCCTTCTCCCTGTCCTCTGCAGCTTCCGGGTCACCCTCGGTGTCTGTTCTGGGTGCTGGTGGTGGTGACTTGTGAGACCGTGTTTTCTGTGCTAGCCAGCGCTCAGCTCACGGATGTGGACACGGCAGAAATCCCCCGAAGACCTGTCCCACGAATGAGCACTCTTTGTCCTGATGACGGGAAAAGGATGGGGAAGAGGGGTCTCCCGGGTCGCGCCCATGTCCCTGCTGATGCCCCAGGACAGCCCTGGGCTGAGGAGCCCGAGGAGGCTCGGCAGAGGGCGGGCAGGCGAAGCCGAGGGAGGCGGTCGGAGGCAGAGGACCGGGGGGAGGGCTCGGGCTCGGTCCCCTGCCGGAGCGTGGTGAGGAGAGGCTGCAAGGAGGTAGAGGGGAGAAAACTTTTTAAGTGAGCCAAGATTCTAAGAGCACAAAAGAGGGGCGGGGGAGGGAGGGATCCCGAGGGGGAAGGGGGAGGAGAGAGAAAGAGTAGGAAGGAGTGGGCGGAGGGAGGGTGACAGATACGATTAAAAAGAGGGTGGAAGAGGAGCAACTGACAGGCTCAAGAGCAAGGAGGAGTGGGCAGCTGGAGACGAGGAGCCAGAGGGCCACGGAGCCAACGGAAATTCCAGACAGGAGGGAGAGAGGAAGGTAAGGGGAAACTTGAATTTTAAGAGATAAAACCACCAGTTGATGCGAAAGAGCCAGAGAGAAAGCCTTGAATTCCAGGCTGGGTAATAGCAAAGCTTTCTCTGCACCTGTGGATTTATTCCCTACGCCTCTCACCATTCCCTGTGACGGATGAGGTCTGGGAATATTAAAGAGGAGGCGTATGAAGCAGCAGATAAATCGCTCACTTGGTTTAGAAGGAGCTGTGGAAACATGAGAGCACGGCCCTTGTGGTCCGTCCACCTCTCACGGAGTCACTGCGCTCCAGGGGCATCTCACGAACAGGACACCAGTCCATTTCCAAGCATTTCTGCTAAGATGGAATTGGCCCTTTAAAAACCAAAACCATCACTGTTTAATGATGCTTCCTCTAGGCTTGGAATCTTTTCTGAAATGCTTTAGGAGAATCTAGGAGAATGTTTTGATTTTTTTCCCCCTAAGGCATGTTGGATGGTTTAAAAATATTCCTGCAGCGTGTCACGTC